GTAGATGAGAATGAATTTTTCAATGTAATATCCTAGAATAAAGTATATATATATATATATATATATATATATATATATATATATATATATGTAATAGAGAAATCCAAAATTACCTCCTGAGTATAAACTATTTCAACTAACGTCAACTTTATTCAACTCAAATGGTGGACTTTATCCAGTCGGAACTAGAAATTGGAAATTAAATATTTAACAAAGAGACATCATTTGAAAGATGGATACAGAGTTAACCAAACATACAACAGAAACAGTCGAGTGGGAGCGAGGGGAGGGTGGATGTTGTCTGGCTTAAATGGAAAGAAGTCACACAAATTCAGAACCCAAACCTAACACACCAATTCGGGGCTAAAAGAAAAACAAAGTGAAATTCAAAGAAGGCTAAAAACAAAAGAAGATTTAAAACGAAATTATTCATTATACAGCGTAACCCGGATATAAGAGAGTTGTCGGGACCGGAGAAGAAGTCTCTTATATTAACGCCTTTTATATTTGTATCTCTTATATTCGGGTTTGGTCTATTCTATATACATTAACACAGGCTCTAATTTGGGACCAGAGAAAATCTCTCTTATATCCGAGTTTCTCTTATATCCGGGTCTCTTATATCCGGGTTACACTGTATATAAAAAAAATTGTTACCGCTCAAAATTACCAAAATACGCTTACAAATAAAATATAATAAAATTAACAATAAATCGTCCTTAGGGTTATTTTAAGAAAAAATATTTTTTTAAAAATTGTAGTAATATGTATATGCAATTTATATGCTCTGTTATAATAAATACGTTGTTCTCTTTTTGTGGATCAGTATTAATATTTTATATTATTAGTATCCACTTGGATTATATACCAAAATTATATCCGTACAAATTAATAAAAAAACAAACTTTTAAAGTTTATTATTTATGCCACTTGTATTAAACAAGACGGTATGATGACTCAGTGAATTTATACCTATTTGAATATACTTGAACCATGGAAGCAAACATTCGCCTTTGAAAATCAGTACCTCTGATAAATAAAATCTAAATTTCAACAATTTTTCCCCAATAAAATGGCACCACACTTCCAGATGAAATATGGAGTAAATTAAAGGAGAGGGGGTATTAATTGATTCGGTAAAAGAGGAATTTAATTGAACTATGTAAAATATCAAGTTAGGATATTTTATGTTATTCATGTTGTTAACTGTAGCAAAAAATGTTTTGTAAATTTGAACACCACCAAAACAAACTTGCTATTCTTTAATCATCATAGAGAACCCATAATGTCCTCCATCAGCATGGCTGATGCGAACATCCTGGAGAGCAACACATTGCGCCTTCTTACTTCGACGTTCTCCCTTCATATGAAGTCGAGGATTACACTGAATCCTTTGCTAGGTTTGCTGCTAAGAAGTTTGGTTCACTGTGTCGCGCCTGACAATTTTTCTGGTCGGAATCCATCTTGAATATTTATAATTCTACGATTCGTCCGTGCATTAAATATTGACACCATATTTAGTCTGGTGCACCGATTATATATCTCAAGATTCTCGACAAAATCGAAAGAAATGTTTTGTAATGTTATCAGTCCTGATCTATTAACTTCCTTGGTACAAAATGATCAAAAAATTAATATAAATTATTTATTTTCGCTTAGGATTCTAAAAATTAGTGCAAATTATTCATTTTCGTTTAAGATCCTAAAAATTAGTAGAAATTATTTATTTTCATTTAAGATCCTAAAAATTAGGACAAATTATTCATTTTCGTTTAACATCATTTGCTTGCACCAGTACATATTTTTAGGGCACTCTACTGGTTTCGTCCCAGATGCAGGTACGTCTTATATACCACAAAATACACTATATAAGTGTGTGTTGTGTCATGCATCGCATGTATGTCAGTGAGGTTATTTTGCGAAGCTTCGTGTATCTGTTAATTGTACGACGAGCACTTGTTACAGAACTAACCTCTCCATCTTACTCTATCTAATTAAAAATAAAAGACGTGTTCAAATTTCACCCTCCATATGCACACTGTGAAGGAAAACAATGTCTGGTAGTTATCTCGATGTACTACCGAGGTTGTCCTCGGTTAGTTGTAATGTTACATGGGCCGTGAAATCATGCTTGACCTTGGAGTAATCTAATGAAAGTTTTGATAGCAACGCAGCTGTTGTTTCCGCAGTTGCATGGGTATGAAATGAGATAAGGTATATAATTTAATTCATTATCGTTCAAGATCATACAAATTAATTCAAATTATTCATTTTCGTTCAAGATCATACAAATTAATACAAATTATTCATTTTTGTTCAAGATCATACAAATTAATACAAATCATTTATATAAATTTAATAATTTAATTTAATGATCAAACCAAAGAAGACAGAAATCTAAATGTAATTTTGTTTGAGCTTTTAGACGAGTTATGATCAAGTGATTAATGCTTGTGTCAACAGCATGATCCCTTTTTTTTAAATAGCCTTTTCTTGTGCTAGGATGTAGTTATAGGATTTGAAATGAGAAAATCCTGTCTTTTGTTCGACTTCTCTTTCTTTCTCCCTTCTACGTCTGAATACATTAAAGGCCCATAACTACTTTTACATCCTAAAGTTCACCTAATATAAATCCTGAGAAACGTTCAAATATAGTGAGTTACTGTTCAAATTGTTATAATGAATAAAGTGTGTGTTATGAATGAACGAGGAGCTAAGGTTGTAGTTTTTAAGGATACATTCAGGTGGGAGTTTGCTGCACAATGTGTTATGAATGAACGAGGAGTTGGTAGAAAGGGAAGTTTATAAGAATAAGGAGGATAGGTTACGATTGAACCTTGAATTAAAAAGGCTAAGATTGTAGTTTTTAAGGATACATTCAAGTGGGAGTTTGCTGCACAAAGTGTCACTTCTTGGAAAAAAAAGCTGACTACCAAACAGCTTTTCTACTGCTAACATGACGATATAGATGCTTATTGCTATTGTAGTCAAATTGTATGATTACATTTTGGTGTATCACCATAAGAAGAAATGACACGTGTAATATCCTCCTGTAGAATGCATATCAAAATAATGGATGCTGTTTTATCGGGATACTATTTTTGGAGAAACTCAAAAATCGCTGTTTTTTTCTAATCAAATTGTGTCTATCTGTGCGCACGTTGTATGGCAACGCCTGGTAAGTCTCTTTCTATATTTTTATTTGAAAAAAAAACTGAATTTTGCGTTCCTTTATGTTGTGGATTCCGGGATGAAATCCGGTACCAATAAATAACAAACGCCAAGAATAAATATAGGAAAATAATGTATTAACGTAATAATACAAACTAGTAATGCAGGTTAGTAGTTCCAGGAATACGGGTTAGTAGCAAAATATATATACAGTCTTTGGTATTGAAGTATCGCTGTATGACTTCTTACTGTGTCTACGTGCTCGCTCACTGGGACTCTTGCTCACTACGTTCGTTCGGTCTGTCTGTTACCTCTCTCTCTCTCTCTCTCTCTCTTCCGGTTACCTACAACCTTTCACTCCTCCCTCTGTTTCCTTGCTCTCTCGGGTCTTCATGTAGCAGTAGTATATGTATATACTGGGTGAGTCAATTTGTGTAAAAAGGGGAGGACCTCTCAACACTTTATATAAGGAACTGCGGAAGTGGTGAACATTTTTAAACTCGTATCTTAGTTATATAACTAATGAGCAGGGTCTTGATGACGGCCAATTGCTCGCCACTTAAATTAATACCTTTCATTTCAACACCCATCACAATTATTAGATCTTTTTGGCACACTTTCACGTATTTTATATTAGTCAATTAAAGGGTCCGGTGTATATTTTATGACGTAACGCCATATTGCAAACACTCAGTAATTTGTTTTGGAGACTTTCTTCATCTTTGTACTTTTTTATTACTACTTTCATCAAGTTCATTATCCAAACACTTTCATATGAATTTCTCCGTAGAAAAATCTGTTTATCTCAAGGACTGTCTTATTGCTGTGTTGCTAATTAGTGTCTTGTTCTTTATCAATGAGAGTTTTGTTATGGTAGTCGTAATGTCTGTCAAACGAAGTTCTTTTTTTGTTTTTTTTTTGGTTTTCATTTCTTTTCTATATTTTTTATGTAGCATTATCTATGCCACGTGGCCTTTTTTTATGTCGTGTTGTCTTAGCTTTTAGTTTTGTCTTTTTCTTGTGAATCAGATTGCAAGATGGGATATTACAGAAGGATTTTGACATTTTAGAATTCTGTTTTTTTTCTTCTTTTTCTCCTGCTTTGACGAACGCTAACTAAAAATAGCGTTTTGTGGAGATTCTAGCGAGGAACTGACACAAGACACATTTTCTGCTTGTTCCTCTAAACGACAGACATTAAAGATTTCCAAGTAATTTTTTCATATTAGCATTTATCTTAATAGCATTAAAATTCTTGGTAGGTACTCGAAAATAAGCAATATTTGTTGAAATATCGAATATTTCTCTGCAAAACGTGCGAAAATCAAAATATGTAAATAGATTAGGCGCACATGTTTCTTGTACCATTAAAAATTCGGTGAGTTCAAGAGAGGGATGTTACTGAAAGTATTTAATATGCGTTTTATGTATAAATAGCTATTATATGCTACAATAATAATACGAAATACTTACGATTTTTCTCAGCATTGGTATGCATATAATTTAAATAAAACACAAGATCACGTTAATCTTTAATCATTTGTTTTTACAAAAGGTTTTAAAGAATAATCTTATATCGTATGATTTTGTACTTAAATATATTTTGCAATAGAATTTCGTAAGGCTTGACCAATAGTGAATGTTAGACTGAAGTGTAAATCTAGTTTATGTCTCCTTTTTTGACTCAAGTGCAAATCAAAACCATGCATACATTTTGACAGAAGAGTAATTCAAACCTATGTTTACGCCTTGATTCAAGTGTAAACCGAACCTATGTTTACTCTTTGACACAAGTGTTAACCGAATCTATGTTTGCATTTTGACTCTAGTGCAAACTGGACATCTATCTATCTATCTATCTATCTATCTATCTATCTATCTATCTATCTATCTATCTATCTATTCAAAATTATATTCAAGAATAAATAAATCAGCATGGGTTAATACTAACGTAACATAAATAAAATATGTACGGATGCTAGAAAGTGGAACTGGGTCAGAGCACATAGATACTACACTGATCTATGGTAGAAGTGTTGATCCATGCGTAAATAATCCCGTATTTTTGACGGGTAAATCTGTAATTTTTGGCGGGTAATCAGATAGCGTTAAATAGTTTTCAAATCATGTTTATTGTTATTTTAAATAAAATCCAGACTATGTCGATAATTTATTTTTTTTTTACAGTAGGTTGTTTACTTCCAAAAAGTTCGTTCGTAAAAATCTTGATAGAAGCTAACGTTATTGACACTGATGTTTGTAGTCTTCTCAGATTTCTCTGATATTTTTGACGCGAATTGTGTGCTATACGACAGCGGTACTGAAACATGAATAATTCATGGTCGACCGATTGTGAGTGAAACATGGCGTGTGTGGCGTTCGGGTTTGCACACTGGGAAAAATTGCTTTTTTCTTAAAAAAAAAAAAAGAACAAAATAGAACATATAGATTTTGTCGTTGGCCATAAATCTCAATTCCGTTGGAAGGCATTGGGCCATCGTGAGGGAACATTTTGATGGAGTTGTCCAAAGAACAACAGTATGGGAGACAATCGGGTGATTGACAAAGTTTTGGGAATATCATTGACTCGTTTAACACTAGCTTGTAAGTGGAGAAATACACACTTTCAAAATACTGGAGCCCATCATTTGTATTTTTTTCTATTTATTTTTTTTTATCAAATGAATAAAAAAAATTTAAACCGTGCACTGTTTCTTTTCCGGCGTTAAAATTAACATGGAGCTAATGTCATAACAACAAAACCAGATAACAATGAATTCGTTAATGAAGAGACTTCAAAAGAAAGATATCTATTGGTTACTACATTGGCGAAATAGAATGTTTGCTCTCTTCTTTTCGGGTGTTTGCAATGGGAAACAAAGTTAATTACATATTTATAAAAAGAATGCGAGGCGTTCATTCAAAGCAGCAAATGAAGTTGAAACTAAAATCAAACCCGGTTCATTGAGTCTGAATTACATCAAAGTTGATACCGGCTTCAGATGCTGGGTTCAATCGATAGCTGGCCCATTTCTCTCTCTTTTCTATATATATCTTTCTATCTACCTCATATATATATATATATATATATATATATATATATATATATATATATATATATATATATATATATATATATATATATATATGCTTCAGATTTTGGGTTCAGGCGATAGCTGGTCCATCTTTCTCTATTTCTATATATATCTTTCTATCTACCCCATATATATATATATATATATATATATATATATATATATATATATATATATATATGTTAGATGTTGTTGATAGATGATCCATCTCTCTCTCCTTATATATATATATGTGTGTGTGTGTGTGTGTGTGTGTGCGCGTGTAAAATGTATATGCCAAAATAGATTCTATCGTTTTTAATTAAATATAAATTCAGAGAAAAGTGTATTCAATTAGTTCTACTAAAAATAGAAACCAACCACCTAATATATATATATATATATATATATATATATATATATATATATATATATATGAATATAAATATATATATATATATATATATATATATATATATATATATATATATATATATATATATATGAATATAAATATATATATATATATATATATATATATATATATATATATATATATATATATATATATATATATACATATATAGACGCGCACTGTGTGTGTGTTGACACGATGGGCATTTACAAAAACATTGTATGTATTATTGTCAGTTATCAAGCTAATAAGATGTGACGGGGTGTACGTGATGGGCCAGATTTTACTTATTTATGAATTTAATGTCATGTTTCCTTCAGAACATAGGCCATCATGGCTTTCCTCAGATTCCGTTTTTTTTTTTTTTTTTTTTTTACTGGGAACTGGCATGATTTTCTGGGAAAGATAGTGGTGTGGTTTGCCGTTGTCTTGTCCACAGATTTGATACACAGTTGCCTTTCTCCCAGACTGGCTGTCCCCAAAGGCAAGAGAGCCTAATCTAGCTGCTAATTTACCCTAGATGAGTCGGTGGAAAGGAATGGATCGATACCCTTCCTATAGGCATTTGTGTGACATAAAAAAAATTAAAGAATTGGTGGGAATTTGAACTCAGATATTCAGTTTCTCTTTCTGCGTCGGTAACCACTACGCTATCGGCACACGATCATGCAGCAGCATTTAATTGAGTCTTATTTATTTAAGATAATTTAACAATTACAAACCTTTCTGAATTTTGCTGAACAGAAATTTTAAAGGATCGCATAAATATCGATGATACTCACTATAACATTTAGTTGACTTGAGAAATATACGTTCTTGAAAAAATGTTTTAAGAGAAAGATTTTATAAAATTTAACAGAAGGTAGTATTGCCTGTCCAGTCAATGAATGCGGAATGCCTCCTTATAAGGAAACAGCTACTATTACCATTACCATCAGTTAGGCAGATTTTGAAAGTTATGACGGTAACGGTCTACGAGACTACTCGCTTTACTTGCGCCTAAAATTTTACCAATCTAAATGTAATCTAGCATATATCTACCATATTGGGGTAGCCATTGAAAATTGAACTCATGCTAACAATTGTCTGCCAAACGAGCAAACTGCAAGGTCGAGGGTCCTGATATTCACTAAACTGTGTTTAATTGGATAGAGAAGCGCAAGAATAAGCTGCATAGTGGGGATCGAACTTACTACGCTGGCATTAGTCTGCGAGACTACTTTATTATCTTTATTTTAAGTGAGGCACCTCAGATGTTTACCAAGTTGATTTTTTTTACGAGGTGCTTCCGTAAAACTGGTATTATCCGCATAGATGTTTACTAATAACCTGAGAATGCTCCTAGGCAAATCGTTAATAAACAAAGTACTTATAATTTTCGATTTGAAGACGCAGAATCTGAAACTAAATGTTCTCAGAGTCATTTTAATATTTTAAAAAATTGAACAGCAAGTAAGTGATTTGATTTCTACACAGACGCTACCAGCTTTTATTTAGAGGTCTTTCAGAATTAAGACAAACACAGCATTTTTCAAATATTTAGTAACCCTTTTAGCTGCCATATTCTTTAATCGGAAACAATGAAGTAGCTTTTGACAAGACTTGAACTCTGTTCCCGTACCTCGGGAGTCTGTCTTTCATTGATGTCATCTTAATCTCGTCAACTTTAGGGTAGATAACGATTGACAATTGGCGATGCGACAGTCTATTCCAAAATGCAACAGTTCAAAAAATGCTGTTTGAGTAGAATTTACCCCTTACAGTTGTAATACGGGGGAAATGAGTGATTCAACTTCTTGAACATAGCATGGTGTGTCCCAGCTCGAAATACTCTGAACTGGTGGAACTAAAGTGAGGAGTTTATCTGGACATTTTCCATGGAAATGGCGATAGTGTAGCGATAGTTTTGCGACGTTGCGTCTATGGGAAAGAAACAAAAAAAAAACTGAAAAATAAGTCATACAAGACTACATAAACAATTTTGAACTCACTTAAGGCTTAAAATTGAGGACTGGATAGCTGCTCCCAAATATAGCGGACATATTCCATGTTTAGTCTAATTTAACACTTGATAAAATAAAACATACTGGAGTAGACGGCCACATCACATTGAAACACAGGTTCCCGTAAGATCACCGTAGTTAAGCAACGTCGGACCTGGTCAGTACCTAGGTGACCACTTGGGAATACGACGTTCTGTAAGCTTGGATTTTATGGTGGTGTAATGGATAACGGTTCTGAATTGTTAATCGGAGAGTCGAGTTCCTATCCGAGGTGGGTCTGTTATATCCACTTACACGCAAATATTCTTTTGAAAGCTAAGAATCAACATAGACTCCCTCATATATGGGATCATTAGTAAGAGGAGTTTCACTAAACCGTTATTATCTACATAAATAAAAATAAAATTGCGAATAAAATATTTAGATTTCGACATTAAATAACCCATACAGGCTGATATGGCGTTAAACAAAATCAAACACCCAACGTGATTTTGTGTGTAAGGACAATTCAAATATCTGCAGTTTGTTTCTACTAAGGTGATCAACTATTTCCTTGTTCATAAAAAGGGAAATTTCTTAATTAAACTGAGGCTGGGATGGTAATATTGCGACGGAGATGAATCCTCTCTAGCATTGCTGGAAACAGGAAAAACCTCATAAATTCCACCAACTTGGGAAACATTTCTTTTTTAGGCAGCGATTAAGCAACTTTGCCAAATTGGAGAGCTAATGGTTTCTCACGCTTTTACCAATTTGCCAGACTTATCTATCTATCTATCTATCTATCTATCTATCTATCTATCTATCTATCTATCTATCCGATCCTCCTGAAACCGACATTTCTGAAATCTTCTCTCCAACTATTTCTGTCTACACAATTATTCCTTTCTGACACCAGTGTCATCTATAAGATGATCAATAAAGAGCCTTGTTCATCTATGGTTTGATCTCTCCACGTAAATCGAGCGCAATTTAGTGGCCACTGGTGAAAAAAGTAAAGAATAGCTTCAGCTCAAACTATTGGATCCGGACAAAGGCTTAAGCTCGCTAAAGATATCTCGAGAGTTAGAAAGAATATTTTAATTGTTTAAAATTTATATTTTCTAAATATGTTTTGTTATGTCAGTGAACACTCGTTACTACTTTTTGTGATTCCAACGAATACTCGTTGTCACTTTCGTAATGCTCGTTGTAGTAGAGACTTTGTAATCGCAGATGCAACTATAGTAACGCCGTTGAACAATACTGGTGTCAAACGCCTTCGAATAACACCCACACTAATAGTACTTGTTCGATAATACTCGCTCGAATAGTAACCCCCAAATAGTAATCCGAATAGAGAAATAGTTTAGTGAATAGAGAATAGCGATCCGTATAGGATAGAGTGGAGCTACCTTCCATATATGCATTTCCTCTATGGTCACGCGATCTACTTAATTCAATACTAGGATCGCCTGTGTTTGCTTGCTGGCGATCTATGTTCAAACTCAACTGTCAGCAGCGACACTTTATTCCTATATAACAATATATTGACAAGTTCATGTTCGGCAACCTTATTCTCTTGGTGATGTGTGTCACTTTAAGTGAATTAAAGAATCATATTGATATTTTTCATTAGTGGAACAGACTAGCGAAACATTGTTAAGATTTCTTCACTCAGTGAAAACATACCAGTTGATATGTTTTACAGTTAGAGATTCTGTTCGGAATATATGGCTGAATCGACATTACAGTCTATAATGCTTTCAGCCTCAAGATATTACCACTAAATACGAGCAGACAAAATGACAAGTTTTCCAATCATGCCAATATCAAGAACCTTGCATCGTCCATTTAACTGTTTCTTATTCCCTTGGCAGATATCAAAAAGCTAATCTCCGAACGAGACTTTTGAAGTCTTGAACAATGTAGATTACGTATGTTTCCAGACAATCCTCCCACATAGGATCAGGTGGCACGTCAGGATTTTCTTTCTGTTACTTTTTCTTCTCTTTCTATTTTCTTCGTTTTTTTTTCTCCAATTTTCTCTTTATCTGCTCTGTCTTAGCGAATTCTAACTTCTTTATTGTCCTCCTGCCAAGGTTGAAAAGAGGGGTAACAGTTTTTGTTGCGACAAACTGGACAGGAAGGTGGAATTTGGAGATTGGTTTGTCTATGGGGTCACTCACTTATTTTGTTTTTTAAACATCAATTACAAAATTCGTGACAGGATATTCTTGCTAAGAAATCTATCGTTGGGGGTAGAATGCTGGGAGGGAAACATCTACGTCTTTTCCAAAGTGTGGAGTGAACATAATAGCCTCAACTGCAATTCGAAATAGGTTCCACAATTCTATTTGTCTTGCGGTCAACCAATCACGTCACTGCGTACTTTCCTTTATAGCCATTGTGCGACAGATATTTGAGAACACGTCTTAGCGACCCATGAACGTTAGAAATAAAATAATACTACGCGGCAAATTTAGACATTCCTATTTCTCTTTCAGATGTAACGTGAGTACTGACTACCAACAACAACAGCTACTCGGTGATGTCAGTTTTTTGGTGGGTATGGATAGACTGACATGATAAAAGATAGGTAGCAACTGCTTCAAACAAACCAAGTTCACATCGTCATTGATAGTGCCGGTGGTCGTATGCAACGACGGCCAGGTCAAACCAGGCGACTTCTTTCTGAAGAACCTCATGCTCAATGCCGCCAGATCAAGCCCTCGATTGACTAAGTAGTGGATGCCCGAGAATATCACCCACAACATTTAGTGATAGCCAAAAGACAAAAAGTTATTAAAGGCCTGGAAGTTGAGGAGAGCCATGATCACCAACGTCCTGACGCTTATAGAAGTGATATAATGGAATATGCATACACCTGTGTTCCCCCTCACTAGAATATGATTAGCTTGGTGTCCGTCATAAATACAGACGGACGTGTAGGTACGACAGAGTTTAAGTCTATGTCGACGCCCATTGGACTACGCCATTGGTTATCCTATTGGTCCACACTTCTTACCTGCGACTACGACGCGTACCAGTCGATTACTGCTACCGTGTACGACTTGGTTACAGTAGCCAAAACCACTTAGCTACTTCGATCAAATATATCCCTTTTCGGGATATATCAAGAAGAAAATCTGTTTTGAACCTCCTGGATTAATACGTCTGGACAAAGGTCGAGATTAGTTGAAGACCGACATAAGTAAGAACAACTGATGGGGGCATAATTTCTCGTTCCATGTAACATTGTAGAATGTTTTTATTGGACAACTCTTTTGTGATTTTCTAAGTTGGCTGTGTGTAGATATTTTTTAATATACTGATTTTCCATAATTTATCCTCAATTAACTGGCGCACTATATATATATATATATATATATATATATATATGTGTGTGTGTGTGTGTGTGTGTATGTGTATGTGTGTGTGTATGTATGTGTGTGTGTGTGTATGTATGTATGGCAAATTTCATATATACTTAAAAATATGTCTGTAAAAGGAGAATATGAATAAAGACAAAAGGAAAACGTATCTTAGCCGACGCGTTTCATCCTTTGATGGAGTTTATGAAGGCAATTATAAAGATTTCATTTAGCAACATGGCCGTTTCTTAAATTCTGTAAAAGTAACGACGCTTTTACTTTTGTTTATAAATATGTGTAGCAAAATAATTGCCTTGATAAATTCCATCAGAGGACAAAATGTGTCGACTAAATATTTTCTGAAAATGATCTCAGTGCCTCAATCCCACTTTAGGAGCTCGCAATTCCGGACTACTCACTCGTAATAGACAAACACGACCATGTAAATCGCTACGGTCAAGGACTCGGTGTCGTCATTGAGGACGGGTTTCCATGTAGCAGGGACACAAAAAAAAACGAGGACCAACATATGAACCTCTGCGATGGGGCACTAAATTACGATCGAATATCTGAGAGGATTGATAATATCCTCATTGAATTTTCCTCATATTAGCAATGACTTCAATATCCGCCACAAAGAGTGATTATTCCACTCGAACAAAACCAATAAAGAAGTCAGATATTGCAGAGACTCATCCTTCGCCTATGAACTAGTCCATATCATCGAAGAACCCGCCGACGGGGAATCAAGCGAACCTTCTCTGCAGATCCTGCTCTGAAAAATGCTTAGCAAAATTTTGATCGTCCTGGGTACGTCGGACCATTCCATAATCAGTGTCCAAATTGATGCGAAACCAAAAGCGTCCCCAGATTTGCCGTTCCATAGCACGATTTTTCGCTACATAAATGTAGACTGGGGCAGCTTTAGATCTTGTATGACAGAAGCTCCTCTCTCAATCTTCTTCAAGCATACTGCCCCCAAAACTGCTGTCCTCGTTCCAGAATGGATCATTTCTGCAATGAAATTCCAACAAAAAACCAACCAGCCAGTCAGCCCTGGTTCACCCCTGAGTAAGCTGTAGCCCTAGTACACTGTAACAACTACTTCAATATCTATCGCAAGGACTGGTGTAGTTTAACTCTTACTGCATTCAGAGCCACCCACAATCGTTGCAAGAAAGTTTGAGAAAATGCAAAAGTGTAGCTATGCACAAGCGGTCCAGGTCAAGGTTTTAAAAATTAAATTGAATTACAATAATTCTGGAAAATCTCCAACCAAATTATAAATGGAGGCAGATAAATAAATGGCCCCGAGATCTTAGCTTGCTAGACAGATTAGGCGAAACTCTTCTGCTCGATATTTGCCTCGAATTCAACGTTAGATGACAAAAAGTTCACCCCCTTTCCCAACTTCCCACGTCTCACTGAGCACAATCTCAATAACATTTTCATTACAGCCGGAGAAATCTCAAGAATCTGTGTATATTTCTGAGATGAGGTATTATGTACATTATTTACATTATTCGGACTATTGTCCTCATCTTTGTCGCCATATTTATTACAAAGTTTCAGCCGTTGTACGCTCCGGCCTTCTTCAGGTGATTGGAATGTCGAACTGAACCCTTTATTTTGCTCACTGGGGTAGATTGTTCTAGTTCCACGTGCCATGTTTAATGGATGTCAGTTATCAGTTATCCCCTGTTAATTAAACTCTGAAAGTTCTCCACTGCCTTAACCGGGTATTGAACGCACACTCTTTGGGTTCTGTCACTGGATCTAGCTAATGCCTTTATCCACTGTGCTATGTGTTCGAATAATGTAAATAATGAAGTCTAAAGAGTTATCAA